TTAGTCGAAACGGGATTTCACCATGTTGTTCAGGGTGGTCTTGAACTCCTGAGCTCAGGAGATTCACCCGCCTCGGCCTCCCAAAGTGTTGTGGTACAGGTGTGAGCCACTGCACCTGCCCCATCCCATTCTGATTGTTGAAGGAATGCACTGACTACATATATTAATTTGGAGAGAACTATTGTGTTATGTCTTCCAAATCAGAACATGAATCTGTTATATCCCTTAAGTAACATTTTATAAATTGTATCTATATAGAGTTTCACATTTCTTGTTAGTTTTATTGCTTAGCATTTATGATTTTGTTGTTATTGCTTTTTTTCTGATCATGGTAAGACCCTCATTTTCTTTATTATAGTTTCAAATTGGCTATTGCTGGTATTTGGAAAAGCTATTTTATTTAGGTTTACCTGTCTTATTAGTTATTATAGATTTTTACTTAATTTCCTTCCATTTCCTAGATACATTATTCTAGGAAAATTACAGCTCTGTCTTTTCCTTACAAAATTTTATATACATTATTGCTTTACCTTAGTTTTATTACATTAACCAGAATCTTAGGTATACTGTCAAAGGTTATCAGTGACAACAAATGCCCTTATCACATTCCTAACTTTGTAAGAATGGTTCCAAGGTATCAAGTTACTAAAAATAAAATTTCAATGTACAAATTAGAATATTTAAATGTTTAGTGTATCAAAGTTAAGCATGTTGTTTTCTATAGATTTCTGGAAAATACCCTTTATCAGATAGAGGAAGTTCCATATATGAAACTTTATTAGAAAGACTGGTTGAAAGACAGATAAATATTAAAGTATTTATTTTGTTAAATGCATCAAATTTAGTTACCTTGGATTTTTCTGTATGTTAATACATTAAAATACCATATGTCCTAATACTGATTTGCATTCTTAGAATAAACAATTCTTTACTATGATCCAATTATTATTCTAGTACTTACCTCATTTTTTTGTTCAGAATTGTTTGAATTTATGCTTACAAGTGAGGTTGTAACACTGGTTCAGATTTTCATGTACTATGTTAAAGTATTATTGGACTTCAGTTACACAGAGGAGAGTGTACATACTCCTCAGATTATGGGCAGGCATTATCAAAGGTCTTTGCGTATCCCATATTCATTTCTCAATTTTAGTCTAATATATTTTTCTGTTCTTCTCGCTCATAATCAGGAAATATATTTGTATTTGTGTATCTGTGATTACTTACAAAATAAATAATAAACTGATTTTAAACTTAAATAGTTGTCTCTTAAGTCTGTTTTATCTCTTAATTTCATTATAAATGATTATTTATGTAACATTTTTGTACAATTTATTGTGTTTTGAAGATCTATCTGTCCAATCTAGTTATTTCTTCTAGTGTTTCATTATGGTATCACTGTTACCAAGACAGTGATGCTTGCTACCCAAATGAACTAAAAGCCAATATTATCACACCAGGTTCTTGAGAAAAGAGAAGCTTTTTACTGCAAGTGGACCAAGAAGACAGGAGTCTAGTTCAAATTTGTTTTCCCCTGCTGACTTTAAGGCAGTAATTGTATTGGAAAAGATTTAGAGGGTGGAGTCTGAGAATTAGTATGTAATTTGTGGAAGGAAAAGGGAGGTTTGGAAGTTCCTTCTGGGTGCAGTTAATTTTTCATGCCTCTTCATGGGTCTCGTGCAAATTCAGGGTGAGTTCATATAAAACATGCGATGTCTGCAAGCTAATTCTGCATAAACTCTAGTTGGCCATATTGGTTCTGAGTGTAGCCAGTTTTATTATCTTACAAGCAGATAATGTTTCAGCATTTCAATAAGTTGTTTGTTTTCCCATCTACAATCTGCAAACTCAAAGATTTCTATTAGTTACTACTATTCTTTAACTCTTTGGGGCATTGTTTCATTATATTTTTGAAATTGTCATATTTTAGTTATTTTATTCTGATAGTGATGAAAATCTATTTGCCTCCATCTATTTGTACCATAAATAGTGTTTCAGGGAACATACTTAGGCACCTGATCAAGTGTTCCTGGGATATGTACCTAAGAGTTGATTTCCTGGGTGTATTACTTATATACTGCTGTGTAACAAATTATCTAAAACTTTGTAGCCTAAATCTTTTTTTTTTTAATTTAAAAGAACAATTTATTGAGTCCTATAGTAAATTGTATTTTTTCCCATAGAGTATTGCCATATAAAGTTGAATTTTCAAACTTTGCTTCCCATTACTTCTAGCTTCTTTTTTTTTTTTTAATTTTTTATTGGATTTTAGGTTTTGGGGTACATGAGCAGAGCATGCAAGACAGTTGCATAGGAACACACATGGCAGTGTTGTAGCCTAAATCTTTAAACTTTTTCTTTAATCTCAGGGATTCTGTGGGCCGGAAATCTGGTAGCAGATGAGCTAAGTGGTTTTGGTGCAAAATCTCTATAATATTCCAGTCCAGCTATTATCTGGGGCCACAGTTATCCTAAGGTTAGGCTGAGAAGAATCCATTTCCAAACTGACCTACATGGCTACTGTTTAGAGGCTTCAATTCTTCACTGCATGGGCCTCTCTGTAGAGCTACTGCCCATGGCAGCTGGATTCCCCAGAATGATAGTGATCTGAGAGAGAGAGAAACCAAAACAGAGAGGGAGAGATAGGATTAGAAGATAGAAAGGAGAGGAGAGGGAGACCTTTTTGTCTTAGATAGGTAGGTAGACAGATAGATTAGAGAGAGGTGGGGAAATGAATAGAGAGTAAGAGATTAACAAAAATAAACCCTTTCGTTGTTGGTTAGAGTTAATGCTTTCTCCTTTGTTCACTCCCAGATCTCTTTACCCTAAAACCATGGCAACCATTCTGTTCTGTTTAATGAGTTTTTTTTTGGTTGTTTGATATATATATATATATATATATATATATATATATATATATATATATCTCCCTATGAATGTGGGATGTGAGTTCACCACATCTTGTCAATCTAAGTCCTCAAGTTACTCTTCTTTCCACAAATATCAATACAATGAAAATCCTCATATAATCCCTGTGGGGTCCCCCTCCCCTCCCCTCCCCTCCCCCCCCCTCCCTCTCTCTCTCTCTCTCTCATCCATGCTTCTATCCATAAAAGTGTTGTGCTGATGGGGTGGGGGGTATATATACCCAGAGACGGAGTTGCTAGATCATGGGTAGACATAAGCTGAGTCTTTACACTTAGTGCCAAATGCCAAACTGCTCTCCAGAAGGGCCACCCAAACCTATGTTACCATTAGCAGTGCTTAAGGTTACCAGTTTCTCCTCATTCTTGTCAAAACGTATCATTACCCAGATTTTTGTCAGTCTAACAGCTGAATAATAATATCTCATTTTAAGTGAATTTGCATCCTGTGATTCTGAATGATGCTGAATATCTTTTTACATGTTTATTAGCTTTTAGGATAGTCTAAGCTTTTTTTTTTTAAGGATAGTAAATTGCAAGATTAATCAAGGTGAAACAGAGTATATTAAAATAAACAAAATCTAGCTATAAAATAGATATAATTACAGGGAGATAAAGTTGCCCAGAAAATTCTAAAAGTTTCCAGAGAGACAACTTATTAACAAACAAAAGAAAGAAAACAAATCAGAATTCCAGATTTTTTATTACCAATACCAGATGCTAGAAGGGAATGTAACAATATATTCAATGCTTTGATGGAATATTACTTTGAATCTAGAATTCTATCCTCAGCCTAATTATCCTAAAATTGTGAAGGTAAAATAAGATATTTTTAGATACGGGAAACCTGAAAATGTTTACTGTTCTTATAACTTCTTGGAAAGAATTATGAGTAAGTAGATTATAGCTCTCTATTGATATGTATCTTTCCTTGGGGATGGAAGAAAGGAAGGGAGGAAGGGAGGGAGGGAGGAAGGGACAGATGGAAGGAAGGAGTTTGTATGACTTTAGAGCCTATGTAGCAATGTCCTCCACCATAGTTGATTTTATTCCAAATAACTCTTATATTTGATCTCTTAGTGGCAGAGTTATAACATGCTTAAAAGACTTTTCCAGGCCAGGAGTGGTAACTCACGCTTATAATCCCAGTACTTTGAGAGGCTGAGACAGGAGGATCACTTGAATCCAGGAGTTCAAGATTAGCCTGGGCAACATGGTGAAACCCCATCTCTACAAAAAAAAATTCAAAAATCAGCCAGGCATGGTGGTGCATTCTTGTAGTCCCAGCTACTTGGGAGGCTGAGGTGGGAGAATCACTCGATCCCAGGAGGCAGAGGTTGCAGTGAGCCAAGATCACATCACTGCACTCCAGCCTGGGCAGCAGAGCAGAACCCTGTCTCAAAAAAATGAAAGAAACAAAAAGAATTGTTCTGCTCTTCTACTACCTCTTCCAGAATTTGGCATCTACCCACTTCTTCTCACATCTTTGTGCTGCAGAATTAGTACTCCAAATAGGCCTGCTCTGAGTTGACATCTCACTTAGGATGTTTTGTGCAACAGGATATTAATCAATGATCCTTGGTTTTAAAAAAAAAGTGTTTTGGGCTTGGCAAAGCCAGAGGGACTTCTTTCTCATAGGCTTTCTCAGTCATTGCAATGTTTAACCAAATGGATTTGGCCATGGTGCCCTTTAGGGATGGGAAGCATCTTGAAAAATTAGTGCTTTGAAAATCACTTTGAAAAACTCTATTGCCTTGTTTTAGACTCTTATGATCTATAATGTTCAATATTAAAATATAAAAATACCATGCTTTGTTCCCTACTCAATGCCTAGTAAATAGGAGACATGCAATACATTTTAATAAAAGAATAACTGAATGAGAGTATCAATTATTGTAAAAATGTTCCATTATAGAAGGTGGATATGTAATCTATGGTAAGCCATTGCTTCTATTTATTGTAGAGTGTGATTTTACCCAGAAACTAACGGCTTCAAAAGAAAAAAACAAAAATATTAGCTTATTTCTAATTAAATAACATACTGCCTATGAAACAAAATTTACTAAAAGCCCTTACCTTTGTAACTTTAGTAAAAATCCACAGCTGTGTTTGCAGCCTTCTGTAGGGGAATCCAGTGGTGACTGTCCGCAACCAGCTTTGGGCTTTTCATCAGTCTGGATCTTCGGACCTTATCTGCAAAGAAATTCATATCAGTCTATATCTGTGTTGTGCTTCATGATATGAATCTCAAATGCATTTACATTTCTTAGTTTGACCTGACTCAACATTTAGATTTTATGTTCTTAAGAGGCAGTGTCCATGTCTTTTATTTCTTCCATGTCTTGAGGTACAGTCTTTCTCTTAAGTTTGATGTGATCTTTTAAAATGCTCAGATTTATATTGTTTAATGGATCCAAATAAATATTGTCATTGTCTGTAAAATGGAAAAATATAGTCAATAGATTATAATTAAATGGAAGTGAGATTTGGAGGATGATTACTCAGACTTGGAATGTGCAGCTGAATAAATAAAATTCCCTGGTCATGTGACCATTGGGACATCTATTTTGTTCTATAAGAAATGATAATAAAATGAAATTAACCAGGCAAATTTATGAATTTGCTCTCTCCAGTTTCTCTTCCAATGCCCCTTTATCCAAAATACTGGAAACCTTTGCTTCCCTTATCAGCAGGGGGCAGACAATAAGGTGTGGCATTCTATGGACCTGACTTCAAGTGTTCGATTCAAGGAGCTTGAGAAAAAGATTTCTTTTCTCCCTTTATTTGTGAAAATGTACACAATGCTACCCACTCTCCTCAGGCTGACAATAAACAAAGATTATGCAAGATAAATTGTTTGAGGTGCATAGCACAGCATGAGTACCCCACAATTATTACTTCTTCTAGTTTCCCATATATCCATCTCAATAGCACCTATTCCAACATAATTTCTTGACAAAATGTCTACTATCTATTTTTAATGCTTTCTTTCCCCTAAAGAAAGCTTTGAATGCATCCATCTTTCTTTTTCCACTTTTTTCTATTATTTGAAGTATATTTAGACAGAAAATTTCTTACATAACATACCTTTGTGTTGTGTATCAGAAGATTTCAACACAAGTTACTTCAACATTCTATTCTATTTCATTTGCAGTTCTAACAATCTCAGTGTTCATAAGGAACCCGGCAACCTAACAATGAAGTTATAAGTTGGAAATTTGCTATTTTCAAATATTCTTTTCTTCAATCTACTTTTTGAAAATTATTTTTCTTTATTTTCTTTCTTTATTGAAACAATGAAATGCTCACCAAAGTGCATTTCATCATAGTAAATTAGACTTAGATAAGTAGAGAAGAGTCCAATTAAGAAAGCTTTCTATTTGCTTCCATTTGAATTAAAGATTGTGAAGTTGATGTGAGCTCTAACACAAGGTTCAGCTGTGGTGTTTTGAAATACCTAACAAATAAAAAATTCATGGGGCAAAGACTTTCAGCTACACTGTTGGACCTTAGCTACTTTCTTCTCTCCCTTCTAGTAATAATTCCTGACACAGTTGACCTTGTGAATCTGTAAGTACTTGTGAAGAAAGATTCAGGTAGGCAGGAGGAGTAAGTAGAAGAAATGGAAAGAGATGAGGGATAAGCGGAAAGATTTTCTGTTCAGAACCACATGCATTACTAAAAATGCATTACCCTTTGTATTTGTGAAAGATAAAGTTCTTTATACTTTCCACACTCAAGTTTAGATGGGACAGCTAAATGAAGGCATTTTCCTTTAGAAAGCCACAAATCATTTTTAAAGCATGATTTATAAGGGATTTTGTAACAATATTACTCTGTTAATGTCCAGTTTTCAAAATGGAAATCTGTAGAATACCAATTTCTTTTCAGTTAGGAAGTAAATGACCACATGAAGTCCCTTTTAAAACGTTTCTCCATTGCAAGCATTTTAAATAATTTCTCAAAGGAAAGTACTATATTCTGAGTGAATAGCATGACATTTTGAACTACATCTAACATAAGAGTTTGCTTCAACAGGCCTGTCAGTGCTCTTTAGTTCCACTGTAATGAAATGAAAATCATGGGAGCTTGGAAGAAATACCTTCCTCACCCTCATACTCTTTATTAACTGTGGAATTGTACTATTTTCTTCACCATGGCAACAAACACACTCAATAGATTTAGCTCTCACCTTCCCTGCACAAGGTGATGGGGAAAAATGGAAACAAAGAAAAGTGAAGCAAATAAAGATTTCAGAAAGCAACGAGTTAAGGAAATTATGAACCCAGGGCAGTGTGAGCTCAATGATCAGCATTAAGGGCCTTGTTTCAGACAAATTTTACTAGACTAGATAACATGACCCAGAGAAGACATTCAGTGTATACTTGATTAAATCTCAGAATAGGCGACTTATAATGTCAGCCAGTCAACTGAAAGGTGAACGTAAATGATCTCATTTTACAGGAAGGTTAATGTCAGTAAAAGGCATAAATTGACCAGTAATCTTGAAATAAGGCTCTGCTTTACTCATATACACCATCATTAAAAAGCAAAGAACTTGTTCTCATCAGCACATACAATTCTTTGAATGATTTTGAAAGAATCAAAGCTGATTTACACTACGAAACATTTCAGCCATATTTTCTTTTTCCCAGAAAATGGAGCTTAGCCTAAAATGTAAGATATTCTGTACTCTGCTGAACTTACATTGTTCAAAATATTCAAGGCCATTCATCTTCCCCTGACATTCTGAGGTTTGTCATGGGTTGTATTTGCATAGGACATGCTGGTACAGGCAAAACCACCAGAAACAGGGCCAAGTGGTTATTTCCTGTTCTGTAAAAAAGAAAAAAAATCACATGAGAAGCACTGCAAGAATTTATAAAAGAAATATCAGCTAGACAGAAATCACATCATTGCATTAGAGCCAGGAAGCCAAGAAAAAATAAAAAGTTTGAATCATGGGATTTGACCTACGTGGGACTTCCAAGATCTAAAAAGAAAAAAAAATTTTTTAATTAATTTGGTCATCTACCTTAAATAAAATAAGGTGACAAACTCTACATTTTTTTTCTTTACACCTAGTTTTTAAGTATCATGTAATTTTTAGTATCATGTTTGATTAAATGCAAATTTTGCACTCATGTTCAGTTCAAAATAGTGTATTAGAAGTAGAAAAATAATTTGGCAGTACTTCTAGGAAAGATGGAGAGAATGCCTATTTTAAAATCACTGCCCTCCTTGAAGCTCAGCAAAATTAAGAAAAATAGCCCCAAATAGCAAAAATATTCAAACAAATCTTAAAGCCAGAAAATGGTACCAACATCACACTGTTAAATGTCAACATCTGATTATCAGTTACAAACATAATTTCGTACAAACTGAATATGCACATTGAATGTCAGTACACGGGTCCCATAAATGATAGTCCCAGTGTGGCATTCAGGGAGTTAGTGAAGAAAAGGATTATTCAAGGCTACTGCTTGTTGAGTTCTTACTACATGGTAGGAACTCATCAAGAGTTTTACCTGCATCATTTCAATGACTCTGCTCCATAAGTTGGTGCTATTATAAACTTTGTTTTGCAGATGGAGAAACTAAGTTTTTGCCCAAAGTCCCAAAGCTACATAGTAAGCAACTGGGGGAGCTGGAATTTTAACATAGGTTTCTTTTGGCTTTAAACTTATCCCTGAGCAATTAAGCTATCAAATCTAACAAAGTTTTGGAGTGCCCTACTTGCCACCCTTAACTTTGAAAGTTTTGGAAGTTTTGTACACAATGAAAGAAAGAGTACTCCGGCCCCAGCCTCTAATGTTACAGGGGACAGGGAGGGATTCAACAACTTGGGGAAGGGCAGAAGCAAAGTTGAGGAGAAAAGGCAGCTTAAGGGCAATGCTTTTGTTTATTTCACCAATATCTTTGTCTAGCAAGGAGGGACTAGGCCCAGAAGCAAGTCCAGGCTGGAGAGAGATGCAGAATAATATGCCAGAGCCCACCTTTTAAGTTACAGACCAAAGTGATCTGTGCCGAGAAAATATGAACTGAGCAACTAAATATCAGACTCCCAATTGATGAGACACCAAAAAAATGTGGTCACTTGTAAAGGTGGCTGACCTGCCCAGAAAGCAAAAAGAAGAGCCAAATTTAAGGGTAGTGACATGGGTTACATTGTATTCTCCAATTGGCTGGAACTGGTCTTGGCAGCAAAGTTAGAGAGATGGAAAGTACAGAAAGAGGTCACTGGATTTTGGCTAGTAATTAATTCTGATCCAGGTTGAGTGATGCTAGGCATCTTAGGATCTCTTATAGTAAGTCCTATGAAGCTCAAGCTGGCACCTTATTTAAGAGAAGCACATGAGTAATTTCTGCCAAGTCATAGTGCCAATAATTCACATTACTGCCAAGCTCGTATCACTCATGCAAGCCTCTATTTTGCCAGTTGTAATTACAAGCTACTTTTAAGCCCCAAGGCCCTTTCCAATTCAAACATTCTATAACTCCATTGGGATTACTAAGGAGTTTATCAGAACCCATGATCCAACTAGAATCGCATCCCCTTCAAGAAAGCCTGAAGATTTGGAGAGTCAGGCCTGTGCTGGAGAAGACATGACAGAGCAGCTTTAAGTTAGAGAGGTAGCTTATAATTATACAATGCCAATTCTGAGGTCTAAGAGATAGTTTTAATTTGAAATGAGTGTTGGATGTGCTCAGTGGCTTAACAGTAGCTTGTTGTTAACTTACACTAAGTAGATAAAGTAAAGATAAATTATAAGTGTTTCTACATATAGAAGTTATGCAGGTTCACTGTATATTTTTAAATCAATATATCGAATAAAAAAATAAATTGTTCATCAGTTCATTCCCTGATAACCATATTAATGGTTTGGCTTGTTTCTGTGCAGTTTTAATACTTCCTGATCTCGCCCACTAAGCAGTGAAACTCTTCATTATAAGGATTGTTTTCTTTATCTTAAAATCCTTGAGCTTGGCCTAAGTAAGTGTCTAATAAATATAGACTTTCTTCAGGTAGCAAAAATAGATATTGTCTTTTGAAAAGTTTTATCATTTTTCCAACAATTTCTTTTTATGTTGATATAGCTGATTTTCACCCAAAACCCCTTTAAATAATTATAAGAAGTGATATTTTACCTTACAGCTCAGACTTCATTATATATTACATTTTGATTAGAATTATGCTAATTAAATGCTTCTATCAGAGGTAGCAAAGAATCTACCAAAGTGATTAGACCACTAATGTGCATAATTATTATATCAATTATTTACATGAACAAAAGATTTTTTAAATTGGAGTCAACTATGCTTTTCTCAATAGTTTTAAAAGTTATCTTTATAATGTTATCCACCCTTTGCAGTGACTTTCATCATCCATCCAACTTCTAGCCCCACAGAAGATCCATCGTAACACATACTGTAAATGAATGGGATGTAAATTTATTAATATGAATGTCATAGAGGAAGGTGCAAATATTGAATGTTTTCAATATCTTAGGAGGAGGCTAGTTGAGATGGATGTATAATAATTTTTTCATTAAATTTAATGAGAACATTTTTAATATAATGGCTTTTCATTTAGTGGTGGGTTTTGTGGGAATGAATTAAGATGGATTACTGAATTCTCAAAGTAATGAATTCTATCAAGAGAACACAGGCCTGAGTTAAGATTTAGCTATGTTGGTACTGAGGAGTTGACTATGCTCTAGCACTATATACATGTGTTGATTCTCCACATTAAAAAGTCTACCAGTAAGAAGTTTTATGTGGGACTGCTCACTTTGCAGGAATAAAGTACAATGGAAAAAGAAGAGCACATGATGAATCGCCCCAGCCCAGGCCTATGAACTACATCAGAGCTCTTCACTGAGAGGAACAGAAGTAGAAGCTGAACAACTTTTTTCATGGGGACTTTGAAGCGTGTGCTTCTGAGGTATGACATAGAGTAGGGTGATGCCTGTTTCTCCCCACCCTCTTTGTTTGGTGCCCAGTACCACTCCTGTATTGTAAGAATTCCAGGGCACTGGTGGAGATATTTAGACAGCAGCATCCATGTCTGGGCAGGAAGCTTCTGTGGTGGGCTGAATAATGAACCCCCAAAGATTTCCACATCCTAATTCCCAGAACCTGGGAATATATTGCCTTACATGGTAAAGGGACTTGGCAGGTGTCTGAGCTATTTATTAATTGCTCAGGATCTTGAGGTGAGAAGATTGCCCTAGATTTTCCAAGAGGGACCAGTTTAATTATAAGATTCCTTGTGAGAAGGATGAAGTATTAGAGTCAGAAAAATGATGTGGCCTTGGGGAAATGGAAGCAAAGCTTGGAGTGATGCACTTTAAAAATGGAAGATGGGTCCAGGAGCTGAGAAATGCAAGCAACCTCTAGAAGCTGTAAAAGGAAAGGAAACAGATTCATCCCTTATTCCCCTAGAAGGAACATAGCTCTGCCAACATATTGATTTCAACCCCATAAGACCCATTTTATACTTCTGACCTCCAAAATATAAGATAATGAATTTCTATTATTTTAAATCATAAACTTTGTGGTAATTTGTTATGATAGCATTAGGAAACTGATATTACTTGTAACAATGGACACACATCAGTGGTGGTCAGCAGAGACAGAAGTACTCAGTGGAGACCTGGTAGGAAGGCGGCAGTGCCCTGCAGGAGAGCTCATATGGGACACACTCCAGGGACTACTGAAAAATCTTGAGAGAGGGAATTTTTCAGGGGCCTGATAAATTCTGTTGCAATTGACTGGAATATTATTAATATTCCAGCTTTATTTGTAACCACAGACCCATGAAGCCTGGGGATATTCCAGTAACAGAATACCTCAAGCAGGCTTGACTTGCAAATAAACTTTCTCAAGTCTTTCACCAACTTTAGTTTGCAAAGCTTACTTGTCATTGATGGAAACAGGGTATCATCATTGAAGCCTCCTACTCCTTTCTCTCCATCCTATAATGTACCTGCTATCTAGAGTTATTCACTTGTCCTATAGGTAAAACGAGGCCTGAAAAGCTCAATCACAGACAAAACCAACACCTCACTCAAAGGAAAGCAAGCTGGTTTTCTAATGCTATTGCTTGTTTGAGGAGATGTTGAATAATCAAAGAGATACCAGTAGAGGGTCTGAAACCATGGGGCACTCATTCTATATGAGAATTGCATATCTGGCAATCTGACTCAGTTACATGGATTTAGGGAGTCATGGGGGCAGGAGGAGGAGCACGGCCCTGTGTTTTCATTGATATATCATTACTCTGCCTTCCAATGGTAACATCAACTGGGAAAGGTTAGACAACGATAGCATCTTCCCACGAGAACTACCTATAACTCAGTGATCTCCATAATACCTTATTACTATAAACAGACATGCCATAATTTGCAAGTCATAAAATTGTACTCATGAGTGCAACAGCTCTTTTAAATTCCATTGCAAACCCCTCACTACTCCATAATAGTTATTTATAATTTAATGAGCATTACCACTGTGAAGATAAAATAACTTGAATTACTAGTTGCACCTTATTTCTTGTGAATTCCCAAGCCAGATTAACCCATATAGTTGCAGTCACTTGATACTAATGGTATTTATAAACCAAAAAGGAAAAAATATGAAAGGGATTTAGAAAAAAATTTCATGTTAGTCACACAAACTATTTTATATTCAAGTACAATAAAATTGCCAGCCCATTTTAATAACAACCCAAAACAATCAAATATTGTTTTACTATGCTATAAATGGTTCCCATTTACTCTAGGAGTTCCTAAAATAAAAATTTCCAGATTAAAATGAATTCTATGTTTCTTAAAAGGCTAAATTTTAAGCTCAAATTTTTGTATAAAGGTTGCATGGACTGGCC